CATCACCGGTACTCCGAGACCGACGCCGACCCCCATAACGCCAAACGGGGCTTCTTTTTCGCGCACATGGGTTGGCTCATGTGTCGCAAGCACCCGGAGGTCACCATTAAGGGCAAGGAGATAGACATGTCCGACCTGTTGGCCGACCCTGTGGTCCGCTTTCAACGCAAATACTACTTACTATTAGTGGCGCTAATATGGCTGCTAATACCGGTGTCGGTGCCGGTGCTCGCGTTTGGCGAGACATGGATTGACTCGTTTCTGATTAGCGTCTTAAGGCTGACGACAATACTTCACTATTCCTTTCTCGTGAACTCCATGGCCCACATCGGGTCGGCCTATAGACCATATGATAAACATATATACCCGCGCGAGAATCGTCTGGTAACCTACCTGTCCGGTGGTGAGGGTTACCATAACTATCACCACACGTTTCCCTTTGACTACTCGGCCTCAGAACACGGGTGGAAAGACAACTGGAATATAGCGACGGCTTTCATAGATATGTTTGCGTGGATTGGGTGGGCGTATGATAGGAGGCGCCCAACGGAGGCTTGTGTTAAGGCCAGGATCGCCAGAACTGGTGATTCCGATCATAAATATCAGAGATTAACCAGGGTATACGCTATTATCGATTCAATTATGGGGGCTGGAGTGGATTTGTGGCCAATATGGCTACCCCGGGTAATTAGGCTTATATTGTTTTGAAATGTTTTCAAATTTATCAAGCTCTATGGGCTGAGCTATAAATATCTCAATTAAAGGAGCTCGTTTATAAATCATTTATTTATACAATAGTACTGATAATACTGTACAAATACTGTCTGTTGTTATCAATGTCAATTGAGTGAATATAATTGTTATTAAATATAATTTTGTCATTAACTCTAACTTTCATAATGCATTATAACTTATTATGTAAGGTGTGTTTCCATACTTTCCTCAAAATACAAATAACTGACCTTGGCTTATATGTAATGAATTATTAATCAATTTTTATATTAAGAAATGTCATTAAAAACCACAATATAAATTATTAACATAAATAGATTTTTAAATGCAAATGACTTTTGGTAACCATCATATAAATATGTAATAAATTTATTCCAATGAAACATTTCACTTTTTTTGGTAAAAATACAAAACATGATAACTGCAACAGCTTCTGTATTGGTTTATATTAAATTAATAGATCAGTTATCAGGTTTTTATATTATAACTCTTATAATAGAAATATGAGGCCTAATAATATGATTAGATCTTTTGAACTATTTATAAAACCTTATTGTAAGCAGAGTTCATGCATTGGATTACTATTAGCACGAGTATTAAAAATCTTCAGCTTTAATATAGGCAAAAATTAGTTTTTATATTATCAATGGACATATGTCTTTGATATAGATTTATCACATACAGTATATACATTGGATAACAACATACACATATATATTAATTAACCTATAATGCACTGGTTTTCATCCTATCACTTAAGTGACAACTAGCCTTGTAACAACTTTACATTTTCAAATATTTGATTCAACACTAGTTATTTTATTTATATATGATTTAGTTATTATATCTTACTCACCTTACTAATCAATATAATATTTGATTTAAAACCTGTTTTGTTTTTAGTTTATATACTGATTCTCGCGTACAAATCACTATAAA